GAGCTACAGCAAGCCACCCCACCGATGCCGTTGTCCCACGGCAGGGCAGCATGGGCAGCAGCGCGGGCAGGAGCGGGACGTGACTCAATGCAGCCCAGCGGCGCCAGCGACCGAGGGGCTGAGGTGACGCAGCGCCATGAATCAGCTTCCAAGCCCGTGGGCTTTTTATTTTGATAACAGCCAGTGTGAGACTCGGATGGAAACTGTGTCAGAGCCGGTTCTCTCCCGTTGCCATAAATCAAAACATGTGTTTTCTCCTCACACATACAGCCGCACGCATCTGCTTTTTCCTCCTACGAGGAGTCTCCTCGCTGCGAGAGGATGATGATCGCGCTCGAGTGAGTTATGCTAGAAAGTAGCTCAGTGCAATGAAGAGCCAAGGAGACAGCCAGGATCCCCGCACTGGGCACTGAGTGTTTGCATGCACTTCTGAAAAAAACCTCATTTCTGCTGGGACACGGGGAGCAGCAGATGTAGCCCCCATGGCCCAGTGTCTCCAGGCCAGCGCCGTCCAGGAGGTGCTGCCCACAGTGCAGGCATAGGCAGGCACAGCTTTGGTTTTGCTTTTACATTTTAGTACTACCGCCGCTTGAAAAACTAAATGCAACGAGCAGAGAGCAGCAGCAAGAGCGGCAGGGGAGATGCGAGCATCTCCTGTCACTGCAGCGCGGGTGCTGGCTCAGACACAGCCCCGATCCGCCCCCCGCCCCAGCCGGGCCCCGCACGCTCCCGCCCCTGCGCTGGCCAGGGAGCGGAGCCGCTGCCACCCCTGCCCGAGCAGCTCCAGCATCGCTCAATGCAGGCACAAAACACTGAGGAAAGACGACCGCACCAAGCAGTAGGAGACCCCCGGCACCGCACGCCCCTCGGGTTCGGCTGCCCAGAGCAGCCCCGGCCGCTGCGGGCGGTGGAAGAGCACAGGTCAGCCCACCGCAGCCAAGGCACGCTGCCTGTGCCCAGCCCTGTGCCACAGAGCTGCCGCCCATCACGGGCTCAGCGAGATACAGAAAGACTGTCCTGTGCTGGAATTACTAATTGCAAAACTATTTGGGAGGAAAAGAAAGGTTTAAATTTTTCAGCCTGACCATAGCTGACCAAAAAAAAAAAAAAAAACCAACCTAAAAGGGCTGCCTTAGAGAGGATATTTCTGTGCTGAAATTATACAGAGACTTAGCTAAGAGACTTCACTAATTTACTTCAGATGGGAACATTGTAAACTGACTGTGTGCCAGCTAGTTTATATAAACGCACAAACAAAAGAACTGTATTAATTTTTTATTTAGAAGTAAAGATCATTCCTGTAAATTGAATTACTTTGAACAATGTGCTATGTAAACAGTGGTACTTGCTGAACGGTATCAAACGAGGGGCAGGCTTACCGAGCTAATAGCACGTGGTAATCGCCGCTCCGCGCTCAAATCACAGCCTGCTGCGGGGAGGGGGGGCACCGCACAGGGACGGCCACGTCCCTGCACCTCCAGGACCGAGGGGAAACTGAGGCACAGGGCACCCTGCTGGGAAGGTCACGCATCCCATCCTTGTCACGCACCCTCTGGGATCTGGGGGGGCACACAGGTGGCCCCAGACCCACAGCACGGTGGCCCCCCAGCCTAGGTTGGCAGTGGTTCCCAGGCAGCGGGCAGGGGCTGCCGAGGGCACAGAGGCTCCTGGCGCCCCAGCAGGCCACGC